TTGCTGGAAAAGCTAAGCAGGTCTGGCAGCATCTGTGAAGGGAAAAACAGAGTTAACGGAAGGGTCACCGGACCCGAAACATTAACTCTGTTTTTTCCTTCCCAGATGCTGCCAGACCTGCTGAGATTTTCCAGCAACTTTGTTTTTGTTCCTGATTTACAGCATCCGCAGTTCTTTCGGTTTTTATTTTGCAAGCTACTTGAAGCTATTTTTAGAAGCTAATTGGCAATCTAGATATCCACCAACTGGAAGTTGTCTGAATGGGTGTTAATTACTGTAACAGGTAGATGATCTAAAACTTGCAACTTGGGAATGAGTCATCATTGAATAATTACTTGGAACATCAAAATGGCCATCAGTCTTGAGCACAAACAGAAGGTGATGTTAATGTTAACTGGCTGTGACATTTACCATGCCAGGATTTGTTTGTGCAGGCACATCAGTTTGTGGAGTACTTCAGTGCCAGTGCATGCTTAGACTGCCCCACCTTTATTTCACATTTACAACTAGTTTGTAAAATTTAGACCAAGCTTGTGTAAAAGGCCAAACTCCAGCCTGCTGGTTCCAAGTACAGTGTACAAGTGAAAGATTCTGGAACAAGATTCTCTTGTAATCAGTGACTGTTTCACTCATGAGCCTCAGTCAAGAAACAATCAACAGAGACATGGATGCACCACTGTCGAGATCCTCTTCAAGCCCCACACCATCCTGACTTGGAACTGAATTTTCGTTCCTTCAGTGCTGCTGGTCAAAATCCTAGAATTCCTTTCCCATCTGCACTTGGGCATATCAACGCCACTTGAAGTGCAGCACTTCAATAAGTTAGCTCATCACCACCTTCTCATGGGCAATAACTGGTGGTCTAGTCAGCAGTGCCAAAGCCCGTAAATGAATAAGAAGGATTCTGACAACGGACAAGTTTAATAAAGCTAATTTCATATGCACGAAGGAAGAACTAGCTAGCTTTGATTGGGTAGATCGACTGAAAGGAATGATGGTATAGAAGCAGGGAAACATAAGATCACATGATATAGGAGCAGAAGTAGGTCAGTCAACCCAATGAATCTGCTGTGGTCATTCTTTGAGATGATGGCTGATCTGATAATCCTCAACTCCACTTTCCTGCCCTTTTCCAGTATTCTTGATTCCCTTACCAATTAAAAATCTATCTCATTCTTGAATATTCCAACCTTTACAGCATCCGCAGTAAAGAATTTCACAGATTCACCACTGTGTTAGGACAGGAATGAGGAACAATTTCCTTTCTAACTGGCAATCGCTTCCTTTTGAGATTATGCCCTCTATGCCTGAGATTCTCCCACATGTTCCATGACAGAAGCCATCAGAGTGACCAGTAGCAAAATGGAATAATTAATCTACAGAAGAACATTTCTGTTGTGTGGAAGTTGGTGGGAGGCTAAAGAGAGCTTTTACCTGCATTTGGCTTGTGCCATATCTGGCCTAGATGCACTTGATGTTGACTCCGGATGCATTAATTGGAGGTATTTTCTTTATTTTCAGATATTGGTATTTCTGTGGTCACTAAATTTGGTTTGACTTTTGAAAAGTATTGCACTGATATCAGCAGACTGTGATATTTCATATTACAATACTGAAACACACACTATGCTTCAAGCATTCCCAATTTAGTATTACATTATTTGTTGACACAACATACCTCCATGAATTTGGTCCTATTTCACCAAATTTCTTTTCCTGTGGCTGGAGGCCATTCAGCCCATTTCTGTACCTGCTGTCTGAATGAGCATTATCACTTAGCACCATTTTCCAATCTTTTACCTGTATCCAGGCATATTGTTTCTAAATGAAGAATTACCTAATGCTCTCTTGAATGTTTTGTTTGTACCTGCCTCTACCACACTTTTAAGGTAGTGTGCTATTCACTCTGTGCATAATTTTTTTTCTCTTGGCACATCTGCTTCTCTTACCAATTAATTCAAGTCTCTGCACTCTCGTTCTTGATCATTTTATAAAGTGGGAATAATTTCTCCTTATCTACTTCGCCCAGGACCCTCATGATTTTGAAAACTTCTTTCAGACCCCTTTTTGCAAATAAAAGACTTGTGATTAAGCACAGATTAAGTTAATTGATTGTCTTTTTGCGTTTTCTCCTGGATTATTCTTGAGGTAATTAGCATAGAATTATTTGTTGCAGTCTTTTGAGAATTGCTACAACTCCTCAGTGATGTAACGTATGAAAATGTTCTTTTGGGGGCCTAGGCAATGTTAAGTGGAATACAGTACATACAATATGTTAGTCACTGATTTTAAAATGAAATAAATCTTTTTTGCATTTTTAGGATGGTGAGACACCTCTCATTAAAGCAACTAAAATGCGAAATATTGAAATAGTTGAACTTTTATTGGATAAGGGAGCCAAAGTATCAGCAGCAGATAAGGTAACATAATTTGCGTTTAATTTGATAAGCGTTGTTTCTGCAACGTCTTGCAACTGTTGTCTTAAAACTTAACCATTGAACATGACTGGGTAAGTTGTAAGCCATTAATTGAAAATTAATAGTTCAGTGAAATATTATGTGGAATTGTAATTTCTTTTTTTGAAACCATTTGGAATACAGGACAATTTGAGTCAATGTGAAATCCAGTAAGTTTGAAAAAGTTGTATTTTTATATTTATTGAAACCTGAACTATTTACAGAATAGGAGGTTTAATGAAAATGATGTGCAATTGAGTTTCCATTGAAAGGCAGGAAGGGCTGATTTTAGAAATGGAGGTGCCCATGATATGACACTTTTTTAAGTACTTTGCATATCTTCTATTAAGATACTTGTGAATTGATTTTTTAAAAAATTACGAATACCAATTATTTGCAGCTGCACTTAATTCTAAACAATTGGTAGTTGCATGCTTTCATGTTGCTTTCTAGGTGAGATGCAATAATCCCCAAATTCCTGTGGAATGATAATGTGTGCAAAAGGGAGAGTGAAAATTGAAATTGTAAGCAATGTTTAAAAAAAAGATTAATTGAGCTGTTCTTCTTTTAAAAAAAAAAGTGTTTTTCAAAGTAAAGGGGAATGAACAATGAGTTTTTCCCCCACTCCACTTAGAGATAAAATTCTTTACACGTTTCAACATGGCTTTCTTGTATGCATCGGTAACCATTTTTCAAGTCTAGAAATGATTACATGTTTGTATGCAATTTGATTGTTTTTCATTGCATCACTCATCTATATTGATGATGCCTCCCATTTAATTTTACTTCACAGTGCTAGGTATTTCTCTGACTGCAAATATTGCATTTCCAATAGGTCAAATGAGAATACAATCTGAAATATTTGCTTGGGTCAGATCTGATTTTGTATGTGGTAACTTCAAGTGAAGCAAACCAGTGTGTGTAGGATGAATTACTACCTTAGTTTAAATGTGAATTGGAGAACGTTTAATAAACTTGAATTGACTTGGGTACAAAAGTTGCAGTCAGTCTGAAAAATTGACATTGCATTATGCATTCTTTTATTTTAAACAGATTCAAAATCTGGGGCATAGATGGGAATCTTGTCAGAATTAAAGTTGATGGCTAGCAGATGGGCCCAGAAGAAGCCTGCTCCACAGACACAATGGAGTTATAAGTTAATGCAGAGTTGGAATTCCACTTGTCAGTGGAAATCATATACTGTGGAGCTGTTGGCTAATCTGATTGGCTAGTAGCTCCATCAGTTCCAGAGTGCCAGAGCTAGATAGTGGGTGCTGATGGGGCTCCAGCCAATCCTTAGCAGAAGGTCTAATGGCCTCCCAGACCCAGGTAGACAGGGTATATTGGTTGGCAAGGGTTTGGATACCTTAGGGAGGGATGGAGAAATTGGTTTTCAGTCTGTGCAAGGAGGAAAGAGGGGTGTACTATCTTCTGGGGAACACCCTTTGAAGATGCACCCCCGATCCCTTCCTCATTTGCAAACTTGGTTTAAGGAAAATGGCTGCCCACTCCTACCTGGGTACCCACACCAACAATGTTATGGCATGAGGAGGGTAATATTGAGCTCAGTTCGCCATTTATTATTTTCATATGATGGGCGAATGGCTGATTTTGGTTCTCACCCACTCTTGTATTATGGGAATCACTTTGTTGTAAAAGGGTGATGAGCAAGGCATCGGCCCTATTTTACATGACACTTTGCTGTAAACATATCTCTTGGGGGAACATGGAGTCCAGCCCCAAAGCTCTGAACATACTTGGATTTTAGATGTAACATAGTATTGCAGGAATAGCCCAAAGTCAAATTTGCAACATGACTCATAGAGTCTTAAAGATGTACAGTGCGGAAACAGACCTTTCGGTCCAACTCCCCCACACCGACCAGATATTCTAAATTAAGCTAGTCCCATTTGCCAGCATTTGGCTCCTATCCCTCTAAACCCTTCCTATTCATATACCCATTCAGATGCCTTTTAAATGGTAAAATTGTACATCCTCCACCACTTCCTCTGGCAGCTCATTCCATACACCTATCACCCTCTGTGAAAAAGTTGCTCCTTAGGTCCCGTTAAACCTTAGGTCCCTTTTTTAAACCTTTTCCCTTTCACCTTAAACCTATGCACTCTAGTTTTGGACTCCCCTACCCTGGGGAAAAGACCTTGTCTATTTACCCTATCCATGCCCCACATGATTTTATAAACCTGTATTAGGTCAGCCATTAGCCTCTGATGCTCCAGGGAAAATAGCCCCAGTCTATTCAGTCACTCCCTTTTAGCTCAAATCCTCCAACCCTGGCAACATCATTGTAAATCTTTTCTGAACCCGTTCAAGTTTCACCCTTCCTATAGCAGAGTGACCAGAATTGTGTGCAGAATGCTGATAGTGGCCTAAACAATGTCCTGTACACCCACAACATGACCTCCCAACTACTATACTCAATGTACTGACCAATAAAGGCAAGCATACCAAATGTCACCTTCACTATCCTATCTACCTGCAACGCCACTTTCAAGGAACTGTGAACCTACGCTCCAAGGTCTCTTTGTTCAGCAACACTCTCTAGGACCTTACCATTAAGTGTATATGTCCTGCCCTGATTTACCTTTCCAAAATGCAGCACCTCATGTTTAGTTGTACCATTGTGGAGATTTCCTTAAGGGGTGCAGCTGAGAAGTTCTTGTTTCAACCTTCTTTATTTATGTCATTGCTAGAAGTGTGACTGACTACTTGCTGCAGAGAGGAATTGCTGGTAATTCATCCTTCAGTGCCCACACCATAGGATACGCTCACTCAAAACTGGTGTGCATTAGTTTAGAACTGGGGGTAAACAGGTTTGCAAATTTAATTTCCTCATGGCAACACACTACTATATTCTGGATTGTCAGTATTTGATTTTAATCTAAGCCAGAATTTCTTCCTGTAGGCCCAACCTGACTGGGAATGCTATAGGGGGCATTTGCTTCTGGATACACTTCCTGATCATGCCTTCACTATTAGAGGCATGAAGGACCTTTTGAACAGAATATAAAACCCTACTCTACGATAGTAATTTTTTTGTAGTTCGTGGGACGTTTGTTGTTATCTAGGCTGTCATTTATTGCTCGTACCGCATTGCTCTTTAAAAGGTGCTGGTGAGTTGACTTCTTGAATGGCTGCAGTCTGTGGTGGAAATGCAAATGCTGTTGGGGAGGTCATTCCAGGGTTTTGACCCAGCGATAGCAGAGGGTATAGTTCCAAGTCCGATGGTTTGTGGCTTGGAAGGAAACTTGCAGGTAATGGTGCTCTTGTGAATCTACTGCTCTTGTCCTAGGTGATACCTTGGACCCTGGTTTGGAAGATGTTAAGGGGCCTCAGTAAGTTTCTGTAATGCATCTTGTAGATGTACAAATTTCTGCCACAGAATGTTAGTGATGGAGGGAGTGAATTTTGAAATTGGTAAATGGGTGCCAATCCATCGGCTGCTTTGTGCTGAATGTCAAATGTCTTGAATGGTGTAGCTGCATTCATCCAGGCAAGTAACTAGTATTGCAACATGCTTCAGACTGCGCCTTATAGGTTGACAGGTTTTGAGGAATTACTCGAGAATTCCTACCTTCTGATTTGCTGTTTTAGACACAGTCAGTGGTAATTCTCAGAGTATTGATAGTAGGAGAATTAACACTGGTAATGCTATCGAATGTAAAGGAGTAACAGTTATTGCTGGTGCTGGTATGGTATGCATGTTACCAGCCCAAGCCTGAATGTTGTCCGGATTTTGCTGCATATGGACATGGACTGCTTCAGTATCGGACAAGTTGCAATTGATGTCGAATTTAATGCAATCAACAGTGAATGTTCTCACTTCTGATTTTATAATGGAAAGAATATCATTGATGATTTACATAATATTTAGCATCAATTGCAACTCCTCAGATACTGGAGCATTCATATTCATATGCAGCAAGATTTGGACAACATTCAGGCTTGGGCTGATAAATAGCAAGTAACATGTTGCTGAGGATGGAATTTATGGGTTTTTGTGTTGCTGTGGTCATGTCCCTACCTCTGAGCCAGAATGCCCACATTCATGTCCCACCTGCTCCAGGGGTGTGTGCAGTGGTGTACCAAGACTAAGATGGTTATTCTCCAACACACAACTATCTGCCTTTGTGCTCAGTATGACTCCAGTCATTGGAAACTTAACCTGGTTTGCACAGGGTCCTTGTTGCCATATTCAGTGAAATGCTGTCTTAGTGACAACAATAGTCTGTCACCTCACCTCTAGAGTTATGCAGACTTAGCAGGCTCCAAGGAAATTCAAGTTTTTCATCTTAAGTGGTGAACAACTGTTTTAAGAATTGGAATACATGTATTTTGTACATACTTCTGTAAGTTTGGAACCTTTTGTTGAAACAAAAGGCACAATTGAGGTTTATTCATGCGTAAAATTAGTATCTTGATGTATTCTGATATTTTGAGTTTTATGTAGCTTCCTAATTTTTAAAACTTGCCTAGTTGTAACAAACTGCTGTTCATTTTTCTCCTCCACTGCTGTCTAGCTGTACAGTCTAATTTATATTTCATCATAGCTGCATACTAACACTTTATTTATTTGTTTATTTCATGAGATTATTGTGTAAATGTTTGAAATGGGGTTTGGAACTGACACAAAGTATGGTTTACAAGCAGTTTTCTTCCTTGTGATTTAGTTTAAGTGGTATTTGATTTGTCTCCCTGAGTAACTAGTTATTTGGTGAACAAGCCTCAAGCAATAAAGTAATTTTCACTCACTTCAATAATGTTTAGTTGCAAAGTGCTACCCCTTATTAATTATGCATTTAGATGCTTAAATATACATATGTGTAAATATTTTGCCTTGGAAAATTTGAGACTGCTTGTTTGACTTTTATCATTTGATTGAACATTTGGGCGTTCTACAGTTGCACTGCTACTGTAAATATAGTGCACTCCTGATGGAGAAAGTGTCATTTCAGTAATACGTGTAAACACTGAGGATGCTGAGTATTTTAATTATATGGTACATGTATTTTTTTGAAGTATAATCACAATTTCATTGCCATCAGTACATGTTTATGTTGCAGTTTGGCAGTAAAATCTTGACATTTCTAGATCATTGGATATTTAACTGTATACTGCAGTCAGAGTTGTTCTGATTGTCTTTATGTAAACTTGTCTTTAAATAAAATCTTGTTTGCAAGACACAATATGATTGAACTTAAGTGTTGAAGTATTTTTTCTAAAGCTTCAGTTATTTATGGTTTTAGAAAGGAGACACTCCACTTCACATAGCAATCCGTGGAAGAAGCAGAAAATTAGCTGAATTGCTGTTGAGGAATCCTAAAGATGGCCGTCTGCTGTACCGACCGAACAAAGCGGGTGAAACTCCATATAACATAGATTGCAGCCATCAGAAAAGCATTTTGACTCAGATATTTGGAGCAAGTAAGAGCTTTACCTGTTTACTTGTGCAGTTCCTGAACTCTTGGGTTTGTAAAAGGGGTCAAAGTTGGTTCCTTCAGTACACTGTGCTTTTTTCATGGTACACCTTAGTTTCTGGGGTGGTGCTAAGTTTGAGGAAAACTGGTGCTCCGTGAGCTAAGTTCATTTGTGATGCTATTGTATGATGTTTGGCTTCTTCTGCTCAGGTAGGTAGTGTGGAACACAATTATCACAATTCCTACTTCTGGCTGCTAACTAGTGACATTTCATTTTCATTTATTATTTTTCTTACACTGTTATCACTTTTTAGAATCAAAATTCTAAAAAAACAAATTTCAGATAGACACTGACTGGGAAATAAGATATGTGTGCAACCACCCCTGATAGAAATGAGTACACAGAGAAGAGAACTTGGTTTTTGTCTCTGCCACTTTACACTGCCTAGAAGCTTCCTAAGGATCCTTTGTAATTGAGGAACAACCAGTGAAATTAGGTGGGAAGACGTGAGTAGTTAAGCCATCTTTGACTGCTGAAAACTTACTTTGATCAACTTCTGATAGCAGTTTGGTGTAACTTAAAAAGATGAGTGGCCTCCTTCATCATTCCTGGATATTGCATTAGGTCTTTGTCCTTGGGTATTTACTGAATGGTTTTCCACTCCTGATCCTGGGTGCAGTAACCTGCCAAGTGGTAAGCTGTGATTGGAGAATTCTGGACCTTTCCAGATGACTTGAACCAGGGAACAAAGTCTATTCTACATATTAGTTCATTTCATATGTCCTGTGATGAGGTCAACATAGTGGGAAGAAAATAAACTCCATAATGGTGTTTTGTGAAGATCCATTGCATGTCACTCTGTGATTTCACCTGAAATTATTCTGGCAGTTATTTAATCATCTTAGTCACTATCTGGGGATGAAGTAAATTGGTAGCTGTATTGGCAAGAGCTGCTGACGCAAAACAGACTAGGTGCCATGGGTAATATGTAAAGTGTTTTAGAGTATTAATTTCAAGGCTAATAGAATTTTCATGATTTTTAATTTGCTTGAGCTTAACCCTTATCTTTGACCCTTTACGTGACTAGAAACAAGTATTTGCAGTTGCCTACAATATTTATTGTCACTAAAATAGTGTTGTTTAAACAGCAATCATAGGTATTTGAATGTCTTGCATTAATTATGCAGTTCACTTAGTGACTGGTATTCTTACGAACACTGACAGTTCTGAATTTTAGTATCAAAAATCTATTATTTTAAATTTACTAATTAATGCTCCACAATTGGAAATGTCTTGATCAGTACAGTTTAATGGATATCATTTAAAAAAGGACAATGGGAGTAATTCAAATTTGAAATTTCATCCCAGATTTAAATAATAGCCGTAAACTGCTTTGATCGTCATTTTATAAATATTAGCTGAAGATCATGATGAGATTGCTGTATCGTAATAATTCAGCTTTTTGGATGATATATCAGGAGGCCAAGAAGTGTGCAGTTCTGGTCACCACACTACCAGAAGGACGAGGATGCTTTGGAGAGGGTGCAGAGAACGTTTACTAGGATGTTGCCTGATCTGGGTGGTTTCAGTTATGAGGAGAGGTTGGATAAACTCATTGTTTTCACTGGAAAGACAGAGGCTGAGGGGCAGCCTGATAGAGGTCTACAAAATTATGAGAGGCGTAGGTAGAGTGGCTAGTCAGAATTTTTCCTAGGTTCAGAAGGTTACCTACAAGAGGGCATGGGCTCAAGGTGGGAGGGGAAAGTTCAGGGGAGAAGTACGGGGCATTTTTTACACACAGAGGGTGATGGGTGCCTGGAATGCACTGCCAATAAAGGTGGTGGAAGCAAGCACATTAACAACTTCTAAGTCGTATCTTGCCAGACACATTATTGTGATGCGAATAGAGGAATACATACCATGCATGGGCAATAAGTAGCTGTTCTAAATAGGGACTAAGAATTCGCGCAGACTTGCTGAGCCGAACGGTCTGTTCCTGCACTGTATTATACTGTAAAGTGTATGAACAAAAGCATCTCCAAATTAACTGGTAGTTACTGAGAGTAAAGAAATCATGAAGAGTATGTTTGCTAGACTGCTGTTGTAAGTCAAGAGTGCTCGTGCAATTCATCAAAATCAAAGTGAAATAAAGTGTTTTCTGTTATATCGAACATTGGCATTGCAGTTTCTAAATCTTCTGACAGTGTTGTTTTGTGTTTTGTGTAGAGGTGAGACTTTTAAACCCTTCGTTGATCAGCTCAGGACATGCTGTTAAAAATGGCTGTACTCCTTATTTTAAATTTAACCTTATTTCTAAAATAAAGCAGAATGTTAGGGAATAATATTCTTGAACATCCCTGGTAAGAACTTTTCCCTCATAATTTGTGTATTTTAATAATTCATCCACGATTGTTCTTTTTTTTTTGTATCCTTGGTGTGTGTAATTTTTTGGTTTGTATTTTAAAAGTTAATTTTATAATTTTCAGCAAATAAATAGAATGCAACAAGAACAATAACCAGGTCAGAACAGGAGATAGCTAAACAGGAAAATCTGTGATATTGTAAACATCAAGAAAGAATGAGTAATGAAGTGTGTAGTCCTGATGCATAATAAAGAGTGTTTATTAAATATTCCAGTTGATGGTTCATTTTTAGTATAAATTAAATCTATGTAAAATGTCTTAAAGGCATGCCAGACTTCCACAGTCAGTTACGGTCAGGTGAAAAAGAGTGGAAGAAAAGGTGGAAGTTTGAAAGGACGATGACAGGCTGACCACTTTACGTCCAACAAAATAAGCAAAAACCGAGAATTTGACCTATCCAATCAGGAAAAATAAAACTTGCATTTATTTAGGACACCATGTGATGTCCGAAGGGCTTTAAAGCCTGTGAAGTAAGTACAAGTGTTGTACGCTGTTGTAGGAAAGACAGCTGCATCAATCTGCATATAATAACCTTCTACAGATAGCATTTTGGTAATGACTAGATGATCTATTTTGGTACTACTGCTTGAGGGAGAAGATGCTTCTGAGTAAGGCCATCCTGCATGCCATAGTGAATGAACAATCAAACCTGATTATCTGAAGGTTTACATCCAGTGCTGAGAGATTATTGAAGAATGAAAATAGAATAACTTTATTGCATGAATGATTGATTTGGTATAAAGAAGTGTTCGCAAGTAAAGTTAAACTAATTGCTTTTGTTTATTTTGCACCCAAAAAGGGGCAAAAGCAACAAAGTACAAAATTTTTAGGACCATGCCCCACATTTGATGTTTTTAATGTTTTTGTATGTTAATTTGGGATTAGTCCACTTGTGAATCATCATAGATATTCCTCCATTTATACTTCTTCTAACACACCTCAAAATGTCCCTCAAATCCATTTTATTTTTATGTAGTTCCTACCAATTATAGCAGGTACAGTTATGTACGTATGATTTTCCCACTATATATTGGTTAATGTGTCATTGTAGTGTAGTAATATGAA